TTGGTTCGGATATCAAAGAAATTGCCTATTTTTATGCAAATAAAAAGGGATAAAAATTGAATTAAAATATAATTTAAAAAAGTGGTTCACAAAAAATTGTTATATTAAATGAAAAATAGTATATATATAATAATTTGTCATTAACATAAATTATTAGTAATTTTCTTAGAATTTTAATTCTATTTGCTCTGGTGTTCAGAATAACTTAGTAGGAGGGAGTAGGGAATTCAAAATCATAAGAATGCGATGATTGTGGTACAATTTTCGGAGTAGTTTTTGGAACAATTTTCCCAGTAACAGGCCTTATACTTTTCTTAACATTTTATTGTCTTTGCATCAAATTGAAAAAAAAAAAGGAGAGATCTAATTTTAAATGATCTCAAATTGGAAAATGATTCAACTCCATAAAATTTAAAATATGGTTTAGAAATTCTACAAAAGGTGTAATTGGGCATTAAGTTAGTCATCGAACCTTTGGCTTCAATTACAAGCGTAAGATTAGAATGTGCAACTAAATTACAACTAGAAGCTAGATAAACATTTTATAGAAATAAACTTGAAAAAAACATGGTGTATATTATAATGGGCACGTTAAATTCTATTAGAATGTTTGGAAAATTTATTTAATATAATCATAGAGATGTAGATATGTACAAAGATCGTGTTGCAAATTATCAATTGTAGTGTTGGAAGGAACTTCTAATAATTTATTGGAAGGCTTTAAAGGCAGATGGTATTTAACAGATGTCAAAAATTTCTTTGGAATATGGAGTTGGGGACCTCTGCCATTAGATTAAGTATTGTGATAATCAGTATTTCATCGAAATGCTTAAATTTAAATATATTATTTTTTCAAACATAATGTTGGATTGGTCAACATTTTCTTAAAGTTTTTCAAATGAAGAGAAAAAGAATAATAAAATAAGAATTAAAAGAGCACAGTTTATTAATATTTATAGTTCGGAAGCATACGTTTTCACATCAAAAGAGAGTATTTTATATTACTGATTTATGAAAAACTTAATTTACTAATATATTTATATTTTCAATAAATTTCTACCAACATTAAAAAAATATTAATAACTTATTCAATTAATGTAAAATTATGGAACGAATTCCCATGCTTTACCACGAAGTTAGTTTGCATACAAAAAAATTTGCTTTAAGCAGGTATTGTTAAATGGATTTAGATTTTTTTTCATTTGTATAAAGATGCAATCTTTTCAATAAGTGGCAGTCTAAATAAGAATTAATAAAATTGAAAAATAAAGCTGAAGTAATCAATAAATTAAAATAAGAAATGTTTAAATAAATTCATGTATTAGATTAATTATCAGGATATGTGTTTCAATTAAATTTTTGAAAAAATCTAATTAGTTCATATCTGGATATTATCTTAATGGCAATATTTCAATTTGGTCAATTAATAATAAAAATTGTTGGGTTTGATCATAAGCAATTAAAGAATATTTCGATGAATGTTTTATGAGATGAGTAAACATATTACTGTTAATCAAGGAAATGATAGTAATGCATAATTTCCAAAAAGATATATTAAATCAAAATAATTATTATTGAATAGACATGATCAATCTTACAATTGATTATTAAAAACTATTTGATAATCTGCAATTACTCATCAAAAGACATAAAAATTAGCAAATATCACTCAATTATCACATGTTCTCTAATACTTCTCAACTATTTATAATACAGAAAATATTAAAAAGTTTTAACTTGGATATTATTGAATTTAATTGATATGAAATCACTGAATTTATCCTTCTCTAAAAAAAATTAATTAATGCTTGTCCAATTTAAGTTAAATTCAATTAAATTTATCAATGCCATCAAAACTTATTTAACATAAGGAATAAAAACATAACTAACTAAATAGACATTTTCAATTTAATAAATTTAGGTTTAGTCTTATTATTATCAACTTTCTTTTCTTATTTATAATTCCCCATATAATGCACTTACATTATAAATTGATTCCCTTAATCTTTAACATCAAGCATTGTTTTCTTCTTTATCCATCCATAAAATTTTGACTTCAAAATTGATCTGTATTTATATGATCTCTTCAAATTAATTCGTTGCGATAAATGTTAAATGAGTTAAAATTCAATGTCTCAATCTGATCAATAATAATTGGAAAAAAACAATATGCTAATTAAAGATTTCTTATACCATTATCTAAATATAGTTTATATAAATTAGATAATTGTATTATTTTTGATATGTTAATTGAAGAAAAGAAAGGATTCAATATTCTACTAATTGGTGATTATGGGTATATATAAATCTCTAAATTCATATATAGGGTTGGCAAAACAACGCTTATAAATTAAATTATTAATAACGGTTTCTCTGAATCGCATTGTGCTACCTTAGGCATAGATATTACAAAATAGGAAATCAAAGTTGAAAATTCTAAGTACTATTTAAATGTAACATCTCTCAATGGTACTTTTAGTTTTTGGATACATCAGGATAAGGAAAATTCTAAAGCATCAACTAATCAATATATAAAAGAGCGGATTGTTGTGTTGTAGTTTATGATTTAACTGATCAATTTGGGCCAAAATCAGTCTAGAGGTGGGTGAACAATTTTTTAGAATATCGCCAATTAGATCCTAAAGATAATTTTCCTATCATTGTGGTAGGAACACATTTGGATAATTTGGAACGGATTGATTCATTAGAAAATTATAAAACTTTTTAGGTTTCACTAAAAGATTAATATTCAGTTGAATAAATTTCACAAGCCATTATCAATGCTACTGCACTAAAATTTCATTAGACAATAAAGGAACAAGTCAAAATCAATCCTATTAGTTTAAAGTTTACAAATTCAGTTAATACAGAATTTGAAGGCTTAGACTAGATATTATCATCAATTGAAGAGAGTAAAACAAAAATGCTTGAAGATTACAATAAATTAATTGAAAATGTCTAAGATTGGAAAAAAAAAATAAATGATATCAAACAGGTTTATAATAGTCCAAGTTTTATAGAAAAATTTGAATAATCACATTTATCAGAGGAATTGTTTATTCATTAGGAGTTAATAAATTTTAATGATAACATTGCTTAAATTAATCAAAGTTATATAGAGTAAACTGAAAAGAAGTTGAATGATATCTATCACTTAACAAAGGACACTTCTAATATAAAAATCGAAATTAATAACAGAAAACCAAAATTTTGAGAGTAAGTGATCAATAGTTAAGTTGAGGAATTATAAAAATAAATATCAATTACAATAGTTTTTAATTTGCTACCATCCTTACTAATTCCCTATTCTCTCCATGTAATTATTGTGAAATCTATTATATAAGAATTAGACAGAATATTATTTACATTAATAAATGATAAAAATAATCTAATCAGCACAAAGTTTCATTTCATTCTTTTTACGATTGTTATTAATCATCAAATCAGGTCATTCTAACTTTGAGAATAGAATATTAGATGATATCTGTTTTGAAATAGTATTTTTTCGATTAAATTTTCTTAAACATCTACCACAATTTATTATTATTAATAATTATTATATTTAACAAACTGTATGATATGATGGAATTCTTTGAGACTTAATATTAACCTATCTAAAAAATAAATGCAAATTCAAGTGATATTTTATTAGGATAAGAGTTCTCAAAAATAATTAAGATGATCCAAAATTTTCTATTTATGTTTTATTAGAATTTTATTTATTATATTTATTAATAATACAATCATTCTTTAACCCACAATATTTGGTAAATCATAAATGCATTGACCCCTTTTTATGATTATTTGTTCTTTAGTTTAATTAAATGTTCTTAAAATGATATCTTCAGATTGATTAATTGATTGAAAATAGAAATCAACAGAAAAGAGTAATAAAATATTTGATTAATTTGAAATTCAAAAGCATTATTTATTTTTCATAATGAATGATTTCATTAGGGATTTTTTGATTGGTGGAGTATCATTTGCTGTTTCTAAGTCAACTGACACTCCAAAATAAAGAATAAAAATTTTATTCAAACACTAAGATGTCGGTCTTTATGGTTGCTTCATCAGGCTTCTTAAAGAAGAAGTATATTCTATATTGAATTATCAAAGCCATTATCTACATTTTGGAGAGGTCATTTGCCATATCTCAGACTTTATGTTCCAAATGCAGCATTTAACTTTGCTTTCAATGATGTATACAAAATCCTTTTTCGTTCTTTTGGTAATTGATTCTTCATTCAGTTAAGATCCAAAAAGGGAGAAACTAAACTTTTTCTTAGTAAATATGCTATCGGGAGGTGCAGCTGGTGGAACAACTTTGCTACTGATTTATCCACTTTAATTTGCAAGGAATAAATTAGCTATAGAAAATTAAAATAAAGTGGAAAGGTAATTCAATAGTTTGAAAGATTGTGTGAGGAAGATATATAAGTCAGATGGCTTGAAGGGATTATATAGAGGATTGAGAATTTCAGCTTTGGAAGTCATAGTATATAGAAGTATCTCCTTTGGCTGTTATGACACAGCGAAGGGAACTATCTTCAAAAATTCAATGATGAGCAATGTTGGTGTAAAATTTATTGTTGCTTACTTCATACATTGTACTTCTAGTATCATGTCATCTCCATTTAATATAATCAGAAGAAGAATGATAATGCAATAAAGTATATTTGGATCATTATTAATTAAAAAGGAAGTTCTAATATTCATTATAAAAATAATTTAGATTGCGCAGTTTAGATTCTTAATAAAGAAGGATTAAACAGTTTTTTCAAAGGAGCTCTCTCATAATCCTTTTTTGGAAGCAGATCTGCTTTATCTTTGGTCATTTATGATGAAATTAAACAATTTTTAAGTCCAGGTTCCAATATTAAGGAAGGGTAGGATAGGGATTGATAGATTAATTTAAGCAAAGTTATATTTTAAATTCTTCTAGAAGTATATACCTCTAGTATTAGATATAATAATGTATGGATATACTATATAATAATAATTAGTATTCTATTATTTAATTATTTTTCTAATGTATAATGATCAAACAAATTTGAACTTTAATAGTCCTAAAAAATTTAATATCACAATTTTTTTAATTCTCCATTCTTCTAAATGATGTAATTCAGATAAATCATTCTATGCCATAATTATTTATTTAGAATATCTACTTAAAACTATTGACTTTAAATTATTTAATACAATTCATACAATTCTAAATTGAATGATAATTATATATCTCTCTTATAATTTAATCAATAATCATAAATAGTTGATATGGAAAGTAGAAACTATTCATTAATATTAATGTTTGTATCAGACTTTAGTTAAAAGGACTAATTATAAAATCAGTGCAGGACTGAAAATAATTTTTGAGGCTACTAATTTAGGCTGATTTTTGCAACTAAGTGAAAATAATACGCGTATTTTGAATCTCTAAATTATTATTGCATACTTATGCTATTTCAAAAGTAATTTATCAAAGGGCCCAAATTAGTACATTCATTTAGGTCAACAAAAGTAATATTAATATAATAAAACCTAAAAATAGGAGGAGGCTATCCCTAATTTTCCAATGTTTTCGGAAAGAGTTTTAAAAATTCTCTATTCTATTTTAATTATGGATTTAATAGTCTCAAGTTATTCAACTTTATTGATAGTGTAGAATTCATCTAAATCAGCTAATCTTATATAAGAATTAAAATTACCATTTGATTATAACTAATCCTATTTAGGTTTTCAAGTATAAATACATTTCCTAATGATATTCGAAATCTATAAACTTTCATTATGTTTCAGGATCGATCATCTAGCACAATAAAGTAACAGAATATTACAATTAAAATTGTACATTTGCATTTTTGAATAAATATATAATTCTCTAAGACAAAATAAAAATTCTAAAATTTAATTTAATCTTGAGTTATGAATTATTAATCAAAATTAAAATTAAAGTTTAAAGAAATAAAATGATTAGCATCTCTGGGTCATCTTAATATTTGAAAAAATAATGCATAATAGGTTAGAATATAAAACATTCTATTTGTGAATTATTTGAACTTCAACCTTTATATTTGTATTTGTATTAAATTACTATCCTGGATTATATAAGAATATTTCCAAAAAAAGTAAATTAGTTTGCAAACAAAGCATTCTCAAAATCATTTAAGAATTATACTACCTCTATTGATAATCTTGCAACAAGTAAGGATTTTCTGCAAACTAGAAAGGGCTATTCACTCTGAACTCAAAGCTCAAGCTTGAGCTCTTTTCTAAGATCAGATGAAGCAGTATAAGTAGGAAATAATCTTACAAACTGCCGAAATTACTTTTTGAAACATGTTTGTCTTAAATGAAAATTCAAAAAGCGTCATATTTTAATAGCTGGACATATAATACAAGTTGTCTGCTTTATCTTTAAGAAATAATACTGCTAATATTTTCTAGATATAGTAGGGAGGAGGTAGGAATCTTTTTATTAAACAATAAATAAGAATGGTTAAAATAAAGATATATTACTCAAAAGAAGCATTTTCTATAATAAATTTCATTTATATATAAATTAATAATTTTATAAATTTGCATTCGAATTTCTAAAATCAATGTATTAAGATCTCTGTTCATAATTGATTATGATTAAAAAAGCTGATTTTATCTATTTAGTTGTAATGGCAATTATAATAGATACAATAGCAACCCATAAGAATTAAAATTTTTAGATAAATGACAGTTGCTTTTAATTTAAGTTTACATACTATCAATCAGCAATATAATTAGATATCAAATGAGGAGTTATTTTCATTAGTTGCGAAAAATCGTATCATTTTTATATAGTATAATTAATTCTAGTATATTATGTGAGAAAAAATGAGAAGAATGGATTACTTATACAAATTAACTAATATTATTATTACAATTCCATTAGTTTCTATAAAATAGTTATAATTAAATGCGCCCTAGATTGAAGATGATAAGTTGCTTTGAGTTGATAAATTCACTGGAAAAATTGTAAAGGAAAGTTAGAATGTACACATGGTTTTCATTGATTCATCACTAGGTATCAATAAAAATTATATACTGCTGCTCTTCACTTGATAAAATAAATCTTACTATTTTGGCTTTAAGTTTTGATTTATTTAAAAAAATCTGATTCAAAACAAATCCTTTTTTTGGATTCATACAAGGTTATTTCGATAATACAAATTCCAATTCATATTGTAGAATATTTTTAATAATACTTAATTATGAAGTAACTTAAATAATTTTGATCTCTATGAATTCTTCCTTTCTCTCTCTTCAGTTTAGCCATGATTTATGGCCTTTATATCGGATGATTTAGATGTAAAATCTCCTAAAAGCTCATCTTTGTAACCTGTAAACCTGAAGTGAATATATATTAAAATTGGAATTGATATTGGAAAAATTTTGTTTTATTATTTAGAATACTTATTTCTAAACAATTGAAATTGATTCCACTCACAAATAATGCCGAACTCTAGAAGCAAGAGACTCAAATAACTGAAGTAATATAAATCTGGCTGTTTGATGTTGGCCTAGAAATGCCGATAAACTCAGTAAATGTAGAACCCAAATAATAAGTAATCTGCTGAAATTGAAGATCATCATAAATTTATTTGAATTTGAACAGGAACTATTTAACAAAGATGGGTTATTATCGCATTTTTTCATAATTTTCTTCATGTTGGGTATAACAATTCATACGTAGATTTTGGTAATAAAATTCAGATGTCATTTATCATGAAGCTTTAAAATAATTCTACTTCTATTCTAAAACCAAAAGTATATTCCTTCCTTCCACTCTAGCATCATAGAATATTTTTTATTTTTATGTAATTCATTTTCTTAAAGTTTCACAGAAAATTCTTTAGTATTATTGAATTAGATTGGCAAATACTCTGCAAATTGATGTTTATCTTACAGGATGTAAAAATGCTTGGGGTAGAATCTACTGATAATAGCAATTTGACATCAATAATATTTTATTATACTACATATTTTAAGCGTTTACATCACTCAAGTAAGTAGAGGTAATGTACAAAGCCAAGCATAAAATGATTGGGTGTTATTTGGACTTTATAAGAACAGAATTGATAGTTACTCTTTTGGTTAATTACTTATATTTCCATTTAAAATTAATTTATAAAGAGAGCTTTAATTATCAAAGTCGAAGACTCTATGCCCTATTTATTCTAAATAAATTGAGCACAAAGGTTTATTTTTAAATTAGTAGTATTCGTACTAATATGCTTAATTTCACTCTAAAATAGAAAATCTTGAATTTATTTAATACACAACTTTATGAAGTTCTCTAAATTTAAAGAGTCCAGATCTACTGAAATATTTAAGTATAATGTGCATATTTTTAATTAAAATTAATATATATTATAAAAATATATTTAAATGGTTTGTGAATTAATAAAATTAATTAATAATAAAACAATGAATTAAAACTAATAGAGTTAAGATTTTAAATGTAAAGATCATCCTGAAAAACCTGTACTTTTTTGGTGTAAATCAAATGCATGCAGTGAGGATCGAATTTTCTGTCTTTATTGTCAAAAGTAGAATAAACATGCTTAACATTATGCGGAAGATGTCCTTAGTATTGATGAATTAGATTAATTTTTAATTCAAAAGTCATAACTTTCTAATGGTCTCATTTCAGAATGTCAAATTTAATTCTAATCAACAGTCAAATCCTATGAGAAGCTTATGTCTGGTTTATCATATAAGTTTTGTGGATTAGAAGATAAAATTAATAAATTAAAACCATATTAAATACAACAGGCACTTGATTCTTTGATTAGATTTGAAGAATTTCGGAGCCATTTGAAAACCAACATTTAAGGATTTTTGTCCAAATTTGAAAAAATTTTAGATGATTTTTTTATTAAATTAGAATTACATCTGATTTAATATTAGCTGATTGATTAATAGATTAAATTTAATAAAGATTAATATCAAAAAGGTTAAATTTGTTTTATATTATTATAGGTATCTCTTTAAACATTAGAAATTAATAAAATGAAGCAATTCAACTCTTTGATAAGTTATTATTAACAGAACCTTATAATGTAGAAATTATGTATTAAAAAGGTTAATAATTATTATTATTTTAAGCTAACTCATTAAGTTAATTGAATAAGTAAGAAGTTGCTTAATAGATATACACAAATATTATTACAATTAACCCAAAACATGAGCTCTCCTTATTGAAAATGGGTACTAGATTACTATATTATTTAGGTGATATTTTAAAAAATTAACACTCTTATTAGTAGGCTCAACAATATTATGAAAAATGTATTTTAATAAATGCAAATAATTCTGCAGCTTAATTTGGAATAGGTATTATAATATCAAAATCTTTAGGGGAATGTTTAAGGGAGACTTATTAATATCATCATGCATTAGAGTTTTATCTAAAATCTATAAAGGTAAATTCATTTAATACAGACAATTACTTTTATTATGGTAAATTTCGATATAAAATAATTTAGGGGATTGTTTAAAATCCTTAATGAGATATCAAGAAGCAATCAATGCATATGAAAAGGTTTTAATTAAAGATCCTCATTATTCAGAGGCAATGGCAGAAAAAGGTACAAATTTAACTTTAAATAATAAAGGAATGTGTTTAATATTCCTAGGATAATTTGATGAAGCATGGAAATACATATAAAAATCATTATCCATAAAAAAAAATACCTTTTAAGGTTTATATGGACAAGGTGTAATATAAGAAATAATCTTAGGAATGCTCTTATATCAATTAAATAATTTAGAATAATCTAATGAATATTTTGATTAGGCTTTGGCCATAAATCCATAACATGTGGACTCATTAAGTGGAAAAGGTACTTTGATTTGAAATTAATTAAAGGTGAGTGTCTAAAATTTATGAATCAATTTGACTAAGCATAAGAATGGTATGACAAAGCTTTGGCCATAAATCCATAACATGTGAACTCATTACATGGAAAAGGTACTTAGATTTGAAATTAATTAAAGGTGTGTGTCTAAGACTTATGAATCAATTTGACTAAGCTTAATAATGGTATGACAAAGCTTTGGCCATAAATCCATAACATGTGGACTCATTAAGTGGAAAAGGTACTTTGATTTGAAATTAATTAAAGGTGAGTGTCTAAAATTTATGAATCAATTTGACTAAGCATAAGAATGGTATGACAAAGCTTTGGCCATAAATCCATAACATGTGAACTCATTACATGGAAAAGGTACTTAGATTTGAAATTAATTAAAGGTGTGTGTCTAAGACTTATGAATCAATTTGACTAAGCTTAATAATGGTATGACAAAGCTTTGGCCATAAATCCATAACATGTGGACTCATTAAGTGGAAAAGGTACTTTGATTTGAAATTAATTAAAGGTGAGTGTCTAAAATTTATGAATCAATTTGACTAAGCATAAGAATGGTATGACAAAGCTTTGGCCATAAATCCATAACATGTGAACTCATTACATGGAAAAGGTACTTAGATTTGAAATTAATTAAAGGTGTGTGTCTAAGACTTATGAATCAATTTGACTAAGCTTAATAATGGTATGACAAAGCTTTGGCCATAAATCCATAACATGTGAACTCATTACATGGAAAAGGTACTTAGATTTGAAATTAATTAAAGGTGTGTGTCTAAGACTTATGAATCAATTTGACTAAGCTTAATAATGGTATGACAAAGCTTTGGCCATAAATCCATAACATGTGAACTCATTACATGGAAAAGGTACTTAGATTTGAAATTAATTAAAGGTGTGTGTCTAAGACTTATGAATCAATTTGACTAAGCTTAATAATGGTATGACAAAGCTTTGGCCATAAATCCATAACATGTGGACTCATTAAGTGGAAAAGGTACTTTGATTTGAAATTAATTAAAGGTGAGTCTCTAAAATTTATGAATCAATTTGACTAAGCATAAGAATGGTATGACAAAGCTTTGGCCATAAATCCATAACATGTGAACTCATTACATGGAAAAGGTACTTTGATTTGAAATTAATTAAAGGTGAGTGTCTAAGACTTATGAATCAATTTGACTAAGCACAAGAATGGTATGACAAAGCTTTGGCCATAAATCCATTAGATGATGACTCATTAAGTGGAAAAGGTACTTAGATTTGAAATTAATTAAAGGTGAGTGTCTAAGACTTATGAATCAATTTGACTAAGCATAAGAATGGCATGACAAAGCTTTGGCCATAAATCCATAACATGTGGACTCATTAAGTGGAAAAGGTACTTTGATTTGAAAATAATAAAAGGTGAGTGTCTAAGACTTATGAATCAATTTGACTAAGCATAAGAATGGTATGACAAAGCTTTGGCCATAAATCCATAACATGTGTACTCATTATATGGAAAAGGTAATTATTAAGCTAATTTCTTATTAGCATTTGTTTTATTAGAATACAACTAATTTGATACCGCATCTTCTTTATTCAATTAGGCATTTTAGATGATGCCAAGCTAATATTTAAAAGATGCATTTCAAAGTAATTAGCTATATAAAATTAGGTTTTTATGACAGGAGATTATAAAATAAATGAAATTTAATAAGTATTCTAATTTTAATATATATAAATCATATTTATTAAATTATTTGCTATTTATGGTACAATATTTGCACTTTGTATAATTTAATTTTTAATTTAATACAAATAATAATGTTGGTCATATTTGTGTTAGTGTCATTAGATTATGTAAAAGATTTGTTAATCATGTATTCAAAGGCATTATTATACAATCCTTTGTACTAAATGCACAGATGCCTCTATTAAACAAGAACGTTCAAAAACAATTATTATTAATGAAGTTACATAGCAATATTACACTCAAGAATCTATCCTTAAAAAATATTGATCTGCATATGTTCGAAACTTTGAAATAAATTGATAATTCATCTTTAAGCATTCCATATAAAACTGAGTAAATGTAAATAACTGCACCCATTATAGGGTTGTGCTGATTCAATTCTAATTAGATTGATTTAAAGGACAAATTTACTCATATTATTCTTCTTACAAATCTTATAAGACATTTTTCAGGCTATATTCTTAGTGGAACAGAAGATGCATATAATCCATTTAATACTTCCAGTAAATAATGTATAAAACTAATACTTGAATTACTTCACTAAAATGTACAAGAGTGCCAGTTTATGCAGTGCTACTTTTTTGTATTGTCATCTCCTTGCACTATATATAAATAATAAAAACATATAAAAACTGTTTTTGGATACTCCTTAAAACTAGAAACACCAATACCATTAGTGTTAACGGCTTGTCCAATATGTTTGACTTCTGCTACTGCATGTGATGATTGGGTTATTGGAAAAAATAAAACTGGTACTAATCGCCTGGTCTATTTTAATTCTTGCCACCTCTCGAGCTAATAGTTGCAAATCTTGTGGCAATTGAATTTTATTGAAATGGAACTAAACTAAGTGCTATTTCCATTCCGTCTCTTGCGTTGAATTGCAGGCAATTTCAACCATTTATATAGTTATAACAATTGCTTATACTGGAATAATCCTTGTAAAAATAACAAATATAGTTGATCTAGGTTAAATTGTTGAGATTCTTCATCTTAGATTAATCAACATGCACAGTTTTTTAATACTCTTATTACAATTTACTAATCAAGGAGATATTAATTTCTATCCATCAAATATGTTCGATGTCTCTATCCTTGAACAAAGTGCAGTGATCGAATTCTTTTTCAGCATCTTTGTCAGGATATTATTTTAACTTACCTTATGCTCATGATACCTTTATCATTCCACTATTTGTGCAGTGTTTATTAAAAAAACTGCATTTGATTAAACCAATAAGTTAACAATAATTCTAATGGTTTATGTGTGCGGGAACATATGTTAAATTATAGGCTTGTCTCATTTAAATACGTTTAAAGGTGATAAAACATATGATTAGTGTACCTTTCCTTATAGTACTTGAAAAATTTGCAACTAACTAACTGCAAATTCTTGCATTTCTGATTACTACTTGTGTGTACTACATGCTAAATTATGTTTCTCTCTAATAATCAATTATGCCAAATGTTACTATGCTACCATGTTCACACTTGAAAACTTGTACACTAGGATTTTATTTGAGAGGAAATTTATATCAACATTTTGATTATAATTAAATAAAACATATCCTTAATGTCTTAATGAATGTGTACCTGCTCAAATTTTTAAATCCGTCCTACCTCTAAAGCTGACTTTAAACTCTAAAATTCCGATTGTATTAAATGCACAATCTATTCAGGAAAATTTTCAGAATATCATAATTAATTCCTTTTGTATTTCTGGTTGTGCCTGGTTACCTAATAATGCAACTTCATTATGGTAATTAAGTTGTGATACTAATAATATTAAAACTCTAAATAAGGCTCTTTCAAGTCAACAATTAATGTTATTAGCATATTAACCTAATGATAGTATCGTATGTATTTTATGTGCCAATCACTATTCAGAATACTAATAGAATCATAATAATGTTTTCTATTTTGCTTAGCTAAAGATTCTATTCTAACCTGATGGTGGTTAATACAATCAGGCTAGTCATTAACTGTAGACAATTTTTGTGCAGAATTTATCTATCATTACGCGATATGTATTATTTTTTCCATTTCTAATCCATTCAAAATTTATATCAGATTCTGATTATGTATCAAAGTCTTCAGTCAAAAATTCCAATTAATTAATATTAGCTACTTTCCCAGTTTCAAGAACAATAGAAGCAATCACAATAGAAAATTTGTTATTTAGAGGAAGGAAACTGTAAATTTTGATGGATCATTGAGAGAGAGGAATTTATATATACAGTATAATGTGAATATTAGATGGGTCAAAAATAATAAGAATTTATTTTTTTTTTCAGTTAGTTAAAGCTTTGTTAATTTGTATTACTTATTCTCAATTATTTTAATTTGCTAGCCCATCTTCCAGAACAAAAGATATTTCTTGGTTAATTTGCTTTTTATTTTGACCAAATTATTTAATTAGCATATACTCTTTTATATTTATGATTATTGTTCCTCATTTCAATTTAATATGCTAAGACGTCCCTTAATTATAATATTAGGAGAAGAAGACATAATTTTGGTTTTTTATCTAGGGTAGTATAAATTTTAAAGCTTGTAAGTTACTTTCCAGTTCAATTTAATTTCCTAGTAATAGCTTTGCACAATATTTCAATATTAATGCTTACCTTGAATATTTTAATTAAACAATATTTCGAAAAATTTGAAGGATCTAGTAATAATTTACTTCTCTGCTAGCAATTATTTAAATAACTTATAAATATTTAGAAGTTTTTCACAAAAATCTAAAATCTTCTTAAGTTTAAGATGTTCTTTTATTCCTTAAACCTATATCAAGATTGATAATTATTAAAACGTAATGATTAAAAGGCCTCGAGGATCTAGATAAATTTTGTTCAAAATCTCGTGAATTAGTTATACTGAAACTATGGTTAGATATTATGCAATTTTATTAAGTTTATCAGAATTAATTTATTTTAACATTGTAATATTATATTTATAAGCAAAAAATAATTTGAATTTCGAATTCATTTGCCTAATTCTTAAAATAGAATTATTAAAAAGGATCGAGATTTACTTTTGAATTTAGATTGTATAAAATTATCCATTCGATTATTGTTAATAATATATCGTTTTTGTAAAGTGGTATTTGTAATGCCATAGTTTATCTGCTCACATAATTTTCTATGATTAATAATATCTTGCAAATTCAAAAATGACTAAAAATAATTATAGTTCTCCTTACTGTAGATGATAAAGTAGCTACTTAAATTTAACTCCTTAAAATTAATTTATTCCAAAATATTAAGTATCTATTCGATTTATTTCTCCAAATCCATATCTTTATTCTCCATTAAATAATGAGATATTTTGACTTATACTTTTTTTAAACAAAGATGGATCCATAAGACTTTTAATCACCACTTATCAATCAATTTTTTCAAGGTTCTTATATATCTATCTTGCATAAATTTTGAATTTTTTATTCTTTATTAAAAAGAACGCCTACTACTTTGCTGTATTAAGTTGAAGCTATCAAGTTTAAAGACAGCTGATAAGTTTGAACAGAAAATCAACTGTTTTCTTCCCAGTAATAATAAAGAATTATCGGTCAATTTCAAACTAACGTTACAGCATAAATGTTAGGACATATTATATTTTTAAACTCAAATGAACTTTAGGCTGGCTTGTTGAATTAAGATTTCTGCTTTCTAAATAAATCAAATTTTATACTAGTTTTATTGAAAATATTTCATATTATTTTGTAATAGATTGTATTGAAAGAAGATTACTAGCTATTTAGCTAAATCTTTATTGCAATCCAGAAAGATTTTTGGCAAAGAATGTTTGGAATGATTAGAGCAGATTATAAAATTATACTTAAAGAAGCTTAGTTTAAAATTTTGAATAAAATATTTAAAGTTTCTTTATTAATAATTTATAAAAAAAATATAAATTTTAGAAATACATTTTTGTCCTTTTAATTAAATTTTAAATTTTATCAAAAGTTTATCATGAATTAATCTTACTAAGTCTGGTTCTGTTTCTTTTTACACATCCTGAAATACTATTAAATTTACTCAATAATTATCTCGGATATTTCAATCAATACACCAAATGATAGTAGAAATATATGGAACCAACCACATTTTATTTTAAAGTCTTCGTTAACATATTTAGCAGCTTCTTATACATAAATAAAAGAGCTTAATGTAAAAATCAATACTGAACTTTAAATTGCCATTTGTACAACAAATGATCTTATAATTTTTCGATAGTTGTAAATTAATTTTAATTACATAAGATTAATTAACGAAATCAATCCTAACTATAAAACTTCTGAATTTTCTAAGAAAATTAAGAAGCCTATGAAACACAAGGAAACTCCAAGATTTAAAACTTCAAATCTATTTTGCTTCATCTTTTAGAATTTAATCAAATTATATTTTGGGTATAGGTTGTTTGAATTAAGGATAAACATAATATAAATAAATATTAGAACTAAAGCTAGTAATAAAGAAAAGATATCTCTGTAAGCAAAGTTTTACAAATATTTCAAGTAAAGCATTCCTTTAAATATCAGATCCCATCCATTTACTAATAATATTATTTTAAATCCATTTTTACTAAATAGATCTACAACCCCAATCAATTATTGACATTTTTTATAAAGCCACAAAAGAAGTTTAGAAGAGATCTCTTTGTCTGAATTTATTTTTTATTAAATCAAATAAATTAGTGCTCTTTATCGGAAATAATTAGAGAAAATGAACTTCTTGGTTCCAATCGATAATAAAATTAAAAGTATATAAAATGAAGATTGGATTATTTACCATTGAAGATTTGTTAATAAATCAGCATTTTATTAATAAAATTGAAATTTTCCTGATGCTTCTCTGAATTCTTTGTAAAACAGAAAACTTTCTAATGGCTTAAATTTTACAAAGTCAAATAATGTTTCAATGGATAATAAATCATAAGATTCAAAATAAAGAAGAAGGTTTTAAGGAAACTGCACATTGATGTATCTAAGATAATTTTGAAATTATAAGAAGTTTAATATTTCTATTAAAACCTCATATTTACCTTAAAATATCAAGAGAGTGCAAACTCCACCATATGAAAAAAGACTATATCTATTCACCTTTTAAGCCATCTCAGAGTAATAAGTTTATTTTTCATTTAAATAAGTAGGAAGCTATAAGGGTTGATAGTATGTTTTCAGAATGGGCATGAAATCCCATTGTTTAATAATTTCTTATTGTAAATTTATTTTTAAGATGGGTTTGAACTCCAGAAGTTAAAAAATTTCAATTTCTAACTAATAATCGATTTTATTAATGGTTTTGCTACTCTCTTAGCTCCCTATTACCTTAATGATATATTAGGGTTCAGTTAAATTCAAAATTGAATAAGTGAATGCTTCTAAAAGTAGTCTATTTTCTCCAATTTTAAAAGGTTAACTAAAGGTAAGGGTTACATATTGTATATTCCAAATCAACTTTTAATATTAAATAAGCAATTTTGGATAATTAAAATATGAGCACTGACTGAAGGTTTCTTAATTAAGTCTTCTGCAAATCCAATCATGTTGGATCATAAAATTATGACAGCCATCGTAGGCATCATTATTTTGATCATCGCATTATTTTTATTAATACTATAACTAAATGTAGTCGCATTGATTATTTGATAATAATTAATAATTAGTATTACATTATAGACAATATCCATTTAAACATTCTAAGCAATTTAAAGGACATGAAAATTTGCATAAATAACAACCATCATATGGGATAATGTTACCATCCTCACATTCTTCCAAATTTGTTATAAGTCCATCCCCACAAATGGATTGGCAAGATTAATCAATAAATTCAAAACCCTCTTCACAATATTAATAACATATTCCTTCAATACATATTATACAGTTTTATGAACATTAGAATGAGCAATTAAAACAACCATCATAAGGAACTAAATTTCCATCATCACATTCTTCAAGTCCTGATATTTAAATCCCATCACCACAATGTGGAAAACATTAGCCATTCTCTTAAATATATCCAACTTCACATTCCTTACATTATTGTTCTTCTAAAATAAGACAATTATCTGGATATTCGACTATTTCTTGATAGCATTAGGGAAAGTTGTTTTGATTGTCCGATAAAATATACCCTGTATCACAGTTATTACATTTCCCAAATTCACAACTTATACAATTAATATCGCATTTTAATTTACACTAATAACATCCGTCGTTTTGATCTTCATTACCGTCATCACATTCTTCAAGTCCTTAAATAATATGATTACCGCATAAGGGATGACATTAATTTTGGATTTCTTCGAATTCCCATCCATCCAAACAGCTGATACAAACATTATTTATAACAGAAAAGCAATTAAGAATTTCAGGATCAAAATGTATAACATCTGGTTAATAATACAATTCAACATCTCTTATAAAGCCTTATTGAATTTCAATTAATAAATCTTAATTTGTGTGGTCCTTAATTATTAATTCAACCTAATAAAATGTTGTTGGCTATTATAATACATAATTCACTCTATTGATTTTGATATTTAAAAAACCAATATTAAACAACCAAAAAAATTTCAACATCAGTCCTTAATGAGGAGGTAATACTCCAAAATATTGAATTCCACTTTATTTAAGAAAATCACATTAAGCACATACATAAACTCCTTAGAATAACCAAGGGGATTCTGTTGACCATCCTTAAAGATTTGAAAAATAATATTTATTAAAACTTAAATTGAAAAGTTTCCATTATTTACAAGCCAAAAAATCGAAACTGTCACAAACTTCACATCCTGACGGGCATCTTTCAAGATAAAATTGTAATGTTCTAATACCATAAAGTGACTCAAATCAATAAAATAAAATACCTATCCCGTTATCTCTATATAAATTGAAGATGTTCTTTTTTTTTGTGGATGAAGTAATACTATACTATCAAAATATGAACCGGTTGGAGTCGGTCCATGAAGACTTGATAAAGAAGTATTACTATACGCGTTTTTGTATACCTATATCTCATCTATATACACGGTTATTCCTCCAGTTGTTATTAAGTCTTTTCTATTTTTAATAAAAAAATTATTACAACCAAAATTCCATTTTCACTTTTACTTGATAATGAGGGCTCAAATCCAAGAACATTCTACTAATTCTAGGAGAACTTCCTCCATATAAAATTATATCACTATTTAATTCAAAAATAGTTGACTTTGTAAAAGTTTTCCATCCTAAGTTTGAATATACAAATGTTAACCCTCAATCCCGTTAGTAGCCGCATTATAATAATAAATCATTTCTTCATAGTTCTGAACTGGAAAAATCAAAATGATTAAAAGAAATATCATTTAATTAAAAAAAATCACATTCTTCATATATAAATTTCAATTTTATATTTTTGAACAAAATTTAGGGTATTTGGGCATTGGTATTATTATATAAATATTAAATTAGAACAAGTCTAGCTAGAAGTTTAAAGAAGCTTAACCCTCGATCTGCTCAAAATGCTGCATCCAAGTTGATATAATTAGGAAAAAGGAAATGGCGATGATTTATAATTTAATGGTCAGAAACTATAATCTTATCTAAACCAATTGAGTAAACTAACTGATGAACAACTCAAGATAACTAAACTTATAATTTATATCAAAAGAATAAAAATTAACTCAAATAATGTGTTTTCTATTTGCATAATCAAAAATTACTTCTTTTCTGATTGCAATTCTAAAAATCAAAAAATTTCAACCCTATATAGTTGGAAAATATTTTACCTAAAGTTAGACTCACTAAGGAGCTTAAGGTGACCTACTTAAATTTTTTTACAAAAAGCTCAAGATTGAGATTGTCGAGATGTTCATATGTAAAAGATGAATAATGATAAAGAATATAAATTTATTTATCTTTTTAGAAATATGTTGGATAATTTGATTTAATAAATGAAGATTACTTGATAAAAAGAAATACTTGATCATCAGAACCAGGTGATATGCGAAATTGGATAGAAAAGGGGATGTTTAAAACAATGATATCAAACCTTATAATTTATTGGGAATGTGTAATTTAAATAGTTGATAGATTAGGCTGCGTGGAAAAGAGTAAAGATAGTTCGTTGATGAGAATGATAAATTGGTGATTCAGAAAATCGTATGATTACTTTGTAATTTTTGCTAAGAGTACGAATAATTTACGAATAAAATATCATAATCCAGAACTTATGGTAGATCTAGGTGAAATTCAAGACAAATGAGAAAAGAACATTTTAATGCCAAAACTTTTTGGAATTTGTAAAACAAATAGAGAATGGTTAAGCTGAACTATATTTGATAATGAAAATGAAATTATGAATATCCTCTATTCATATTTAGAATACACTATTACTAATATAATTATTTAAATTTTTAAGCTATTTATTGTTTATTATTTGAGATAGAAATCTAATTGCTTTTCTTTTGTTTAATCAGTTGCAATAATTAGAAGATATGTATTAAGGAATTCCCTCACATTTTTCAGATATTGTCCTTATCATTGATAAGGGGTTTCCTACTATGAGTGTTAATTCAATAATTTTCTAAAAATTGATCCAACTTTAATCGATAACCTATTCATTGAATATAACTTTTCTCCTCTATAACCTCCCTTAAAGCACTTGTTAAAGCTAGCTGTATAGTTAGTCTAATGAATCCAAGACAGGGATCAAAGTGTTCAAACTAATTCGTTTTTTTAATTAAAAAAATATTTGAGTTGTATATCTGAGGCCAATCTTAGGTTGACGATGTAAAAAAGAATGAGTTTCGTGAATATTGATTATTGTTATTTGTTATAAAACTAATTTCATTTTGTTTCCATTTACCTTCCAATTTAATCCGAAGCAGTTATCCCACCACAAATTCCAACCTACTTCCATTATTCTAACAAATCTAATGTCTACATTCGGATGCATTTTCTTTGTATTAATAAGTAAATATATCTTATTTGATTTTATTTTCAGAACACATAGTCTTTATTTATTTAGAAATAATTTATTACAAATTAGTTGATACATATTTCTAACTTAACTTCATTCTGAAATTATTTTCATAAATAAGCTGCTTAATACTTTGAATGGAACAAGTTTGTTTAATTACATAATATATCACTATAAAGAAGGATGCAACAAATTACAAATTGTACCTGAAAAATATATATATTTCCAATAAAAAATTTAAGGGTATTAAGATCTGGCAAAAATTCAGATAAGGTTCCAAAAATACATGTGTGGTATTTTAAATTAACTTTGAATAGCAAGAGAATAAATAATTATCTGAATTCTTCTCCTCCATACTAAACGAAGAGTATTAAGGCTTGAGTGTTGATTTGCTATACAATTATTTTATTGTTATAATAGGGAATGCGTAATTATTTTGACAAAAAATATATCATAATTAAATTTTGAACAAAGTTTGATTTCATAAAAAATGATTTGAATCATAAACTAATCAACTCATGTCTTTAACATTATAGATCCATGCCTCAGAAATCAATAAAATGTTGGTTAGATAATTTAATTGAAGAAATTAATTTGAGATAGTGAAAATCTCCTTATACAATGATGTAAATAATTCAATTTGCAATTTAGATGTTGCTGAGTTATACAATCCCATTCTTCATTCTAAAAGTTATATTTATTGATTAATATCATTTCAACAAGATATTTATTTGTCTATTAAAAAATATCATAATTCTCTCTTTTTTAAGTATAAATTAAAAGCAAATAGGCTCTCAATTTTCATAGGAATAAAATAATAATTGTTTTTCAAAGATTATTGATTCTTTAATCTATGCATAATCATATAAAATATTACAATTACTTTATAAATATAAGGAAATATATTGTATATTAGTTAATATATTTTCTTAAAAGATTTAGGATTTTAATTTGATTAAAATGCAAATTTTGGTTTGAAGTATGAATTTCATCTATTATTTTTTTTAACAAACATAAGCATTTTGAATGAATTATATGGATGTGTTTAAGATTCAGATGACAAGAGAAGTATTGATCATCAGTTTACATATTTTGGGTTTAGGAATAGTATTAAATTTAATAACAATTTCTAAAGTTTCGACAACTAACAGTTAATGATTCCCGACATTTTTTAAAAGACCTACCTTACTAGTATTATGTATTCAATAGATTAATTTAAAATACATAACTAAAATGAAAGCATTTATGAAACTTCATGAAGTGCTATTTATGTTTTGTCAATCAAATTTGAAATGAATCAAAAAATCTAGCACTTAAACCAGACGTATTCAATTTAAATTTCAGTATTAGAACTATAATCATTAATTATAAGATATATAAATATTTATAGATTTTACATATTTAGAAATAATTAATATAATAATGAAGATATTTTAGATTTTGAATCTCTTTTCTTTATTTAAAATTTTCTATTCCTACTTCACGGGATCGATAGGTTAGTAATATCAATTACAAGTAAACATCATAGATACGAATGTATAATTAATAAGAGATGAAGGAATACTTTTTGGTATCTGGTCTAAATACAATCCCTTAGGTATAACATAATAAGTAGGGCTTGTTGGATTATGGGATTCAAATTGCTTTCATTATCAGAGTTTAATTGGAAAGTCATCTAGAAGTTTGGGATAAATTTATTATGATTGTCTTAACCCTGAAAGTAAAACCATACAAAAATTTGTTGCATTTGCTACTTTAGATGGTCAATAACATTTATATCAAATAGATATTAACCCATCTGAATATGAAAATGTATGGTATTTATTTGAATTATTATACTACCCTTCTGCAAATATAATAGAATTCATAATAGTAAAAGAAAATTCAATTTTGTTTTAAAAGAAATTAGATTCTTAGTTTTTTTTAGAAAATTAGATAAAATAAATTATTGGAGGGAGTTTAATCGTACAAAATTCAAATATAAATTCAATAGAAGCAGGGACATAATTTTCATATTTTCCGGGTGATATGCAATTAATAACTGATCCTCGAGTCTATAAAGATAAATTAAAAGGTGGGATAGAATCTTTTGTGCAAAATTTTGATTCTGTTTCCGAGGTTTCTTGCAATGAAACTACTACTACTTAAATATCAGATTAAGATTTAATTTGGTTGGATTAAAAATATTTTATTTCCGAAAACATCAACATTGATTCATTTATTTTGGCTGGTTGGTTTAGAATTACTCAAGTACATCAAGTTGTCGACGAGTTTACATATCATTTTTTAAAAATTAGTAAAAACACTAGATTTGAATAATTCTCTAATCCTAACCTATCCCCATTTTAATTATTCTATAAAATATCTCCAAATAATAATAAGATAATAATTACTACTTATAGCTACAATTATCCATCAGTATCTTTAGATTTTACTAATAGTGATAACAGCTTTATGATTACTGATGAATTTTAAATAAATCAAAAAATTTCTCTTTGGCACAGAGTTTTTATTAATCTAAATTCAAATCAAATTTTCATCTAAATATAATTTTTTGACTCATACGATGTATATGAATATTCTAAGTCACATACGGTCTAATAATTCCGCAACGTACTATTTTAGGTACATTATGGAAATTTAATGAAATCATTTTAGAATTATTTGGATATTTAAACTAGAAATAATATATTTTATAATTGCTAATAATATGTATAGCCTCAAAATTGCCATTTTTCTTGCTATGATTGTGATGGTCCAACCAATAATGATTGTTTATCATGTTCTGAAGCATCACATAGAATATACATACCTGAGCATAAAGCCTGCATCTGCCCGTATAGCTATTTAGATGATTAAATTAATTAGAATTGTTTATCATTTTCTGATTAATCATTTAATATTAAGGATTTACAAAAAACTGAGGATTGCCAATTCGGTTATTTTGAGTTTCATGATTCTTGTTATCCCTGGTAAAATATTTGATTATAATAAAGCCCTTCAATTATTTCTGATAAATTGATAACTTGTATAGAATGCATAAATAATATAAAGGGATGGAAGGATAATCCAGAATGCAGCCACAATATCTATATGGACCTTAAAGGAAGTACAGCATAAATATATTATGGCTCAATTCATAATTTCATGTTTGGTGGTGAAGAACCATATTTGTAATAAAATTGGTCATGGAATTATACTTTTTTTAATTATGACATAATCTTTAAAATCTTCTCTTAATTGCAAGAAAGCTTTAATCAATTTTGTTAAAAGGATTATAGCGAGTTTAATAATGAATTTTACCCTTGCTACATATGTAATTTGGATTATTGTGATGTGTGCTTCATTGAAATGACAGGGGTAAAATGTAGTGTCTGTCGAAAGACAATATAATTAAAAGATGGGCTTTGTATTTCATCAGCAAGTTAATTTCCAAATAATAAAGATTGTAGAACTCCTTATTATCTAACCTCACTTAGAAATTGTAAATTATGCCCTATTAACAATTGCATCTATTGTTTTGAATATGAAAAAAAAAATCTAGAATAATCTACTTTATATGCAAATTTTGAGAAATTTGAATAAGATGAATATTTAAGCATAGGATGTGCAATGTGTGAAGAGAATTATATTTTTGATTTTACTATTGGATAGTGCATTCATTAAGAACCTTCCTTATCCAATTGCTTAAGGTCATTTATAAATTTATAAAATTAAGAAATTTGCACTTTATCATCTACTGATTTTAGTGTAGCATCAGAAATTATTAATTGCGGTAGATTAATCGAAAACTGTTTGCAATGTATTTTAACTCCTTTTTATGAAATTAAATGTATAATTTGTAATTTGGGTTTTACAGCGTCTATCAGAAATGGAAATTGTTATAAAACGACATTAGGGTATACAAAAATTGCAATTGAAGGAGAAAACTTTTTTGATGCATCAATTTAGAGAATACAGAGTTTTATGATGAAATTTTTACCAAACCAGTATTTTTATTAAAAAAGTTTTTCTGTTATCTTTCTTTTTCCTATACCAATTGCATGTAATGAGGGTTATTCATTTAATTCACAAAAATATTGTGTTAAATATTGCACTTCAGAATGTTTGGATTGTTAAGAGTCGAATAATAAAGTAGATTTTTATTGTGCAAAATGCCCATTAATATTAGTACTATTAACCTATTCATAGTGAAGAAAGAGGTTCATGCACTAAGTGTCCTGAATTATGCGAAGTGTGTATAGTAAGATCTGACGATGAAATCTAAGTAACTTTTGTAATTATTGCTATAGAAACTAAATCCATATTTTAAGGTTACAGACGTCAACAGAATGTATTCTAATAAATGTATGAAACCGATTTCGAATAAAAATGTGGTAATAGATTTTTATTTTTAAATTGCCAAATATTGTTATAACCAGAGTTGCAATTTAGAATATATTATAACATAGTCTATTTATTAGGAAAACTTAGACGATAAAATTGATATCCATTATTGTAATTAAATTGGAGTTAAAGTCTTGAAAATTTAAAATAATCCTACTAATCTTGTTAATTTTTCAAGCAGTACTGAAAATATTTCTTAACAAACTAAATTAAAAGAATAAATTTTTAGTTTACAAATACTGAAATCTGAATTTAATCTTGTTTATAATTACATCGGTTCTGGAGTTTTCACTGGTTTTGATGAGATAGAGATTAATAATGCATATTTAAGAATTATAGATGATTATGCTTTTATATAACCTTATATATTTCAATTTCAAAATCAAAATTAAAAAGTTAAATTCATCTTAAATAACATTATCATTGAGAAAAATTAATTTGATAACACTAATTCTATATTTGAATCAGAATTATTTGGAGATATTACTTTGAATAACATTTCCATAGTTAACTGTAATTTCAGCGAATCTTCACTTCTTAAAATCAATTTCTAGCTGTAATTAGGTAAGATAAAAATATCAAAAATGACTTTGTAAAATTGTAACATTACTAATTCGCAATTATTTTCACTGATTAATTGTCAAGTCTAAATTTATATTGAATAATTAGTTATTGATTAAAGCTTATTAATAAATTCATCATTTATTACATTTTTTACTAATTTTTAAGATGAAAGCAAGTTGGAAATTAAAGGAATAACAATAACATCAAGCTAATTTTTCAATTCATAAATTTTTAATTGCATTAATTTACCAGATATTAACATAAATAATTTAATACTGAATAAAAATTCAATCATCCTGTCAAAGATTATTGTCTTTAATAAAAATTTTACTTTGTTTTAAACCCAAATCAATAATAACAATTTTATTGAAACATATTTTATTACAACTCCTGTTACAGATAACAAGATAAAGATATATTGTTTAGTTAATAATTACAAGGTAAGTCAAAATGAATTTACAAATTCCAGTCTATTTTACATATCAAATGAAAACATGTACTATTAATTAACGACTGTTTAAATTTAGATTAACTAAGGATAAGATACTTACTATTAAGGTATTAGTCTATTTAATATCAATTGTTTCCAAATAGAAATTGATAATATTTAAATTGTAGATTCAAATAGCCTTCTTATATTCAAATTTTTGGAAGTTTATCAAATATTTGCATCAAACATAGTTTATGAAAATCTGAATATCAAGAATAAAGTTCCTTTAAATTTAAATTGTATGGAATACAAAAATTATAATTATCAACTATTTGTAATTTCTGGATACCATAGAGTTACCTTTAAAAATATTAAGGCTATTAAACTATTTTTAATTGATTTGTAATTAATAGAAATATCATCAACTCGAAAAAGATGGACATATATGCCTTCAAGTATTGAATTAATAAATTTGGAATTTTTTACTAATTTATTATTCCATTAGAATCAAGCCAATTATTTCTCTCTAATGTCAATAAATTCTGAATATAATACGAATATATCGATTGAAAACAATTTTTTTCAAAAAAATGTTATTCATTAGTAATTAGATGATCTTTAAGATTCAGCAGCAGTGTTAATTCAAGTATCTTTAAATAAAGGATACATAACAATAAATAATCTTTACTGCTCACATAATGCTCTGACTAATTCATCAAATTCATATATGTCTTTGAAATCAGAATTCGTCATAATAACAAACTATACTGTTTTGAAACATAATAGTTTACCTTTTGAATTTTGGGAGTTATATTACGATTTATAATTAGAAAATGATCAACTTAAATTTGATTAGGAATAAATAAATTTAATCATATAACAAACCTTTATAATAAAAAATAAATGCGGAGCCAGTTAAATAATTGCATCTACATTTTCATGTTTTAATTGTTTTTTTTAGGACATTATTGCCCTAAAAAGTTCTGTATTTGAAATAAAAACCTAAGGTGATGGAAATATCTAATTTAGCAATTTAACAATAAATTCTTTAGAATTTGATTTAAGTTAAATAGCAGATAGCTCTGGCTGTATTACTATCTATTCAACTAACAGTTTACTCAACTTAAAAATCATAAATGCTGTATTTGAAAATGTTCTTAATCGTATGGCAACTTCTTTATTTACAATAAGTCCATCTTTCTAGAAAAATTACATTTCTTTATAGGATGTGATAATTAAAAATTGTATTTCTTTGAAAAACCCAATTATAAATATATTATTCTCAACTTAGAGTATAAATTCAAACAAAGTTATGATATAAAATGTAAATATAAATTTTGAGGAGGCGGCTTGGATGAAATACTTTTAGAAAACAGGGATGATAAATTAAAATGAAATTATAGATATAACTGATACTTCTAATGCTTTAATTTAATTGCAAAATTGTAATGTGGTGTTATCCAAAATACTTATTTCTGGTATTTTTAGTTGTCCTTTAATTAAATTGATAAATGTTTAAAACTTATTAATCTCCTCATTATGGGTAATAGAAATTAAAACATTTTATGGTTTTAATCTTTTAGAATTAAATTAAGATTTATTAATAAAGTAAACTATTGATATTAATTCTGGAAAATTTTAACGTATTTCAATTTATGAAATTAGCACTAATCCAATCTATTATAATTCTTAATTAAATTATATGATCAAAGGATGTTTTCAAATTTAAAATTTATAATAACAAACTCTTATTTATACTTTTGATTAAATTATCAAGCTCTTGTAATCGACCTAAAAATCAAGCTCCATTATTTTATTTCAATCAACTTCAAATAATACAAATTTTTATGTTTAAAATATAGTTTTTTATGATATTAATTGTTCCTATTGTTCAAATGGATTGATTTTTTTCAATATCGAAAACTATAAAGCATTAAAAATTAGGGAACTTACCTTTGATTCTAATCAAATTAAATAATTTGGATGCGTGAATATGGCCACAACTAATTAGATCAGCTAGAGTTGTCTAATAAAGAATTCTAATTTCCTTAAAAATAATGGTAGTTCTGGCGTTGCTATATATTCAGCCAGCATACCAATTAAGATTATTTATTGTAATATAATTAAGAATATTGCCAGTAATTAAGGTGGTGGCATATATTTGAACATGAATACCAAGGATTTAATTATTAATAAATCGACAATTATTAATAACCTAGCATTTTAAGGAGGTGGAATATACCTATTTAAAAATGCTAACATAAATTAAAAAAATTTGATTTAAACATTCTTGTAATTCAACAAGGCAGACTTTCTGTCAAATAATTTGGTAGAATATCCAACTCATCTAAGCTTATTTATTAATTCAAAAGAAATGTAAGCAGAGGAACTTAAAATTAATAACATTACAATAAATATCCTCAATCTTAAGCCTTATAAGATAATAGATTAAGGTGCTATTTCATTAAGTTAGTATTTGATGATACCAAGTTAATAAGTAATCAAACAATATAAAATTTTTATACCATAGTTATAAATAGTTTAGAAGATATTCAGTGATGTATAAATAACTTTAAGAAATAGCAGAAATGAATTATAATAAAATGCGCATCAAATCACTTGCTTAGTTTCATAAAAAAAAACTTAATTGAAATAGGTTTACACTTTTGAGGATGCTAAATTGATTAATTCTCTTTAAATTGATGAATTTAATCACTTTGATTTAGGATCCATCTAATTTCATTATGATCCATATCAAGGCGGAAATTAAAATTTATAAATTTTAGTGAATTGTTCATCAGATATTTCACAAGTCAGATTATTTTATTTAATAAATTCTAGAACCTATAAATGTTAATTAGGAGAATTTTTAATTGATGAAGGATGTTAAGTTTGTGAATCAACTTTGGGATTTTATTCAGTTACATATAATACCACAAAGTGCTCAATATTTGATAAAACAAGGTTTGCAAATATATCTTCACATTCTATATAATTATTAGAAGGTTATTGGAGGCCAAATATGTATTCTGATTACATTGATTATTGTTTAAAAAATATCGAATTCTGTAAAGGAGGTTGGAAGGTAGGAGATGAACTTTGCTCTATGGGGCATCTTGGAGGTTTGTGTGAGGAATGTGATCACAATAATATGAGAGGAGATGGAAATTTTTTTAAGGTTTAATAGGATTCATAATGCTATAGTTGCTCTTCTAATACTCTCACTCCCTTAACTTTCTCTTTTATATGGTATGAATTTAAAAGTAATTTAAGGTCTATTATTTCTGTACTGATAACATTAAAAAGCATTCAAAAATCTAACCTATTATTTTCTAAACTTCAATTTAAACTAAGATATCGAAAAATCTTGTTTAAATTGGAAAAAGGTATAATAATTATATTTTGATATTTTAGATATGGAGGGTATTTTCATCAAGATGTTATTCATCTATTTATGGATATTTTCAGTCATATTTACTTTTAATATCAAATTTTCTATATCCTTTTCATTCATTGATCAAACTAGTAATACTTCTTAATTCATGGCATCTAGTCTTGATTGCTTTTTATCTGAAGCTTCTTAAATTTAATTAATTTATGTAAGAATTATTGCTACAATTTTATTGATACTAATATAGGTTGCGATTATTTTGATAGGGTATCAAGTATATATTTTAGCTTCTCAAGGTAGGTTTCAAACTTACATCATTTCAAACACATTAGTATATTTATATGTCTCAAATTTCTCTGGGCTTTTTAAACAGTAATAAATTATTTATTATAAGATTTTGTTCAATTGTTTCAAAAAGAATAATATCAAACATTGAATACATCTAAGGAGACTTAACATAAACATTTGGTTCCTCAAATCATAATTATTGGATTTATCAATTTGCTATCCCTGGTTTAGTTTTATTTGGATTTTTAATCCCATTTGCTTTATTTTTATTTATGTTTATTACGAAGAAAAGATTTAATAAAATTTAATTTAGAAGACATATCTGTTATTTGTTTGATGAATATAATGAAGAAAATTACTTTTGGGAATACATCAAATTTTCCAAAAAGATTAGCATAATCCTAATAATGACTTATTTCGAATCTAATATTCTCCTAAAAGCGACTTTGTTAGGATTGTTTTTATTAATATATTAAATATTAGCAGGAAGGTAACAACCTTACAATCAATCAAAATTAAACAATTTAGATCTCTAAGCAGTGTAAATATGCTCTATTGCTATATTTGTCGCAATTGCTAAATATGTTAGTGAATAATAAGTTTAGAAGGCATCATCTCAAATTTTGTAAGTATTTATTTTGCTTCTTTGCATTAAACTTTGTTATTAGTTTATTTTAGACATCTTTAAAGCTTATGTTAAGAAATATCAGGTATTATTCATAACTATACTATATGATTTTATGAAATCGATTAAACCAAAATCGAAATAAGTAATTTATCTTGGCCATTTACTTACATAATGGAAGAGAAAAGAAAAAAGAGTGTAATAAAAATTTTCAATTTTGAAAGCACATTTATTAAAAATAGCAAAGGCATAAATCAACAACTAGATAACATTAATCAACATCAAATAAAACTAAAATCTTTTTAAATTTAGAGAAGTGATTAGATTTAAAATAAAATATTTAACAATCTCAGTTTCTAATTTTTTATAAGCGAATATATATGTAAATTCAATTTAGAAATTTTCGGTAAAATTAAAAGACAAAATATTGCGAAGTCATTATTTTTTTCTTCTTTTTGAATCTGTATAAATGTGGCTATTACATTAAATAATATCAATCCTCTTTGTTATCATTATAATATTTATTTTATAATAAAAAAGTGCATTGCCAATAATCTAAAATAATTTATCATTCTTGGGTTAAATATGTTTTAATTCTAAATTATAACTTACTGTATTATTTTATCCAATAGAATTATAAAAAAGTCTTTATACTACTCCTTCACTTTTGTTTTCTCTTTACATGTTATTTTAAAATTGTAAAGTCATTTCTTGTAATCCTTCTATTGAGATTCGGATGCCTTTCAATTTTCATAATCAAATGAAATCAAGACCTGCTTATTTAATACCAGATGCTAGTGCTGCACCATCAGGAGAGAAACATATTGAATAGACAGTGCTAGTATGACCTTGCTTTTTAATTCCCAGTCTTAAAATTCCATAAAAAATTACACTTATCATAACTTCCAGATGCTAACGTAGTACAATCAGGAGAGAAGCATACTAAATAAACTGTTTTACTATGACCTAATAATTTGGCCTTTTAATGGCCCGTCTTGACATCCCATATTAGAATAGATATATCCCAACTACCAGATGCTAGAGTAGCGTTATCAGGTGAGAAGCATAATGGAACTACATAGTCAATATGCCCATTCAATTAAACGTTTTGTTGTCCTTTCATAACATCCCATAATTTGATTGAGTTATCTGCACTACCAGATGCTAATGTATCACCATAAGGTGAGAAGCAAACTGATATTACATAGTCGCTATGACCATTTAATTAAGCTTTTTATTGTCCTGTCTGAATATTCCATAAACTAATAGAGTTATCTGTCATACCAGATGCTAATACAGTACCATCAGGTGAGAAACATGTTTTACTGATACTACTGGGTATCTAATTAATTTAATTCATAAATATATAAATTCTTCCATTTGCAATTGAACAATTATGCTCTATTTAAATTAATTCCTGTAATATCTACATTCTCAAAAATAGACCCATTCAAATTGTATCCCGTAAAATTTGCTCCAATTAAAGATGTCTCTTTAATCCTGATATTTTCAAAGCATTGATAAATAAGATTACCTTCATTCTACTAACAAATTCAGGGAATTCGATCCACATTAGATAAATTCGTTATCTAAAGCTGTAAGATGAACGAGTAATTATAAAAATTTGATTATATTCCCTTCTTCTTATATTTTATTTATTAAATCTTTCCTTATGTCTTTATATTTAATTAAGGAATAATTTTTTATTAAATTCAATTTCATGAATGTTTCTGATTTGATTAGCAATAAACATAACATCATTTTCTACAATTTTCAGCATAATTAATTTATCCAAATAAAATGAATTTCCGCCCTGAGAAACGTATTCTTGTTACTGCTTCTTATTAAAATTTTTTGAAAGAAATCCAATACAATCAGTAATTTTTCCTTTCTTAATATATCGATTATTACCTTAATAGTTATTAATCCATATTTTTTGATAAAGCTAAAACCTCAAATAAATCTTATTTCCATTTATAAACTTATGCTATTTTTTAAGTTGGTTGAATCCTTTTTATGACATAAATACTTACTTAATGAATGACATAATCTCTCTCATTTCTTTAGTCAACTTGTCCCTAAAATTCTTAACTTCTTGGTCCCACCAGCTCTAAGCCTTTTCCAATTAAATTAAATATTAATTTTTCTAATCTATCCAATCATTTAATTTTTTTCCTTCTGCAATTGATTCTAATTTTTCTAAATCGTTGTATGATAAGTCTGCTAGATTAAGAGTTTCATGTATGAGATTATCAAACGATTCGTTTTCCATTTCAATAAAATCGTAGATGTATTTTAAAGACTCTGTTAATTCTTTAAATTTCTTTATGATAGTTTGGGTTTGAGAGAGAATAGATTTAAAATTCCTTCTCTACTTGGTTAATTCAAATTCCTCATGAAGCTTATATTCTTTTAACTTCTTGATAACCATTTCTTAAAAAATTTGATCAGCACTGTATATTTCAAATCCACTCCGTGTCCATATTGGCATTCAACACACAACTTCCTTTAGCATTAACAGTTATGAGAAGCTATTAATATCAGCGATATTTGATATGAAAAGTGCCATTGATTATCTTTTTTATATAATATTGAATTTCTATTACTATATTTTCAGTTTTATTCTTGAAATTAGAGGGATCTCGCATGTTTTGTTAAGGAGAAATGTAAACTCTGTAAATATTTAGAGTTTACAACTTCCATTAGTTAATTTTTCATTGCTTAAGAAATCTTAGGCAATTTTTGATTCTTTATAAATATAAATTATAAACAAAAATTCAACAATCAACCATATTTTTCAGTAATAACACACCCATCTACTTCTTCAAGATTTGTTTGATTTTGCTTTAACTTTGTTTGAAATCCTAAATTATTTTAATAGATGCATTTTTTGATGAAATTATTTATCAAAATTGCAATACCGAATTATACCTTTCTGATATTCGAAAAAAAATAACAAGGTCAATTTATACATCATCTTTTAATAAAGAATTGGTATCTAAAACCTATGGTAGTAATCACTCCTAGAATAAAGGGTTGGGCGATAGACCGGCCCGTCCATACCCTATTAGTATGGTTGGAGTAGAGTCAAGAAGAGGTGAAAAAGGGATGTATAAAAGTGTATTTCGGTGGTTGTAAGTTTAATTAAATAAAATGGCATTGATTTTTGTAACGCTCAAAATTTATTAAATTGTTGTTGTATAATAGAGGTATTGCATAATAAAAATTGAAATAAAATTGAAATATCATAGATTGAACAATCATTTATTTATTGCTTGATATTACAATTTTGTTTGATCTAGAGTATTCTTGTATAAATGGCAACACCATCCTAATTTGATTGACATTATTGAAATTTAACGTAAACAGTATTTTTTTGGTCAATTTTAGATCAATAAGTCTAGAGTTTTCTAAACTCTTCCTAGAATTTCTTAAATTCAATATTTAAATTAAGTAGGCTCATCCTAGATAATTGGATGAATTACAATAAAATGGAAATTTCCTCTCTCCTAATTTTATTAAAATGAATAAACAATCAGTTTCACTTAAGATTGGAAAATTTAATCAAGCGCTAAGTTTATTTTAAAAAAGGAAAATAAAGATAAGAAATTATTAACCCTTTCGGAAATCTGAGCACTTCAAACTAATAAGCATCGAGTTTAAGTCTCTACAAGTTGTTTGTTATTTAAATACTGACGGGTATAAATAAATTTATAATATTATAATATAGTTAGAATATTTCAAAAGGTTTAGGTAGATGAGAATTAATGAAGTCAGATTTACAAAATTTTGAAGAATTTGATGTACTTGCAGTGTATGGGGGTGTATACTATAAATGTTAAATGCTATTCAGTGGATTAAATGTAGGATAAATTAATCAATATTTAAAGAGTAATATTTTTCAAATTCTCTTTTTTTCTTAGAGATTAGGGAATTATCCAAATATTCACTTAATAATCATGTCATTCTGAAACATTGAAGCTTTACAAATTATTATCCACTATTCATATTGCGCTATCTTGTTTAATATATTAACTTAACAAAAGTTCTATACTATTTACAATTAAGTCAAAAATGAAGAAACTTTTTCTCTGAAGTTGATATAATAATAATCAAGTGGATGCAATTTTACCCAAAGGACAATATTTAAGAATATGATAGTCTTAATAGTATTTTTCTTAAAATTATAATTTGGTCTTGAGTTGATATTCAATGAAGTCCTGCTTTAATCCTTCAATAATCCCATGGTTATAAACAACCTTCATATTAGCCATTATCATATGTTCACCACATGTTGATGAAAGACGATTTTATAATTGCAGTACCAATGCTACTTAGCCTCTTAGAGTGTTGCAGCCATAAATTTAATTAAGATAAATATAAATCATATTTATTTTATTTAAAATAATCATTTCTTCTTTTTCTTAATTTATTATTCAAGTTCCTCTTGAAATCCTTTATTTGTAACTTCCATAACATGAGATAAATTCACTTTATTTTCAAAGCCTCACTTACTCAGAAATTTGATCCTATCAAAGATTTCTTTTATAGGATCTTCGACCAATCTCAACTGTTTACTAAACTATCTATACAGAACTTAACCGTTATATTACTTTCAATTTCTTCCAGTAAATTTCTAAAATCTAAATTTCATGCTGTTTCAGATCTACAGCACATTAATTAATTTAGGAGCATCCTTCAAAAATTCATCAAAGGGGCTTAACGTTTTGTATAGTGACTTATTGAGTTTAAAGAAAAAGTTAGTCTCATAAGAGAACATCTCAAAATTGAATTAATTACACCTTTAATGAGTCCTTTGCCCTAGAAGTTTAAATATAAATTGAGTGACTAAGGCGAGGTTAAAGAATTTTCTCAATAAAATTAAATGATTACATTTCTTATAATCAAAAAGAGAGTCTCATTTTCATATTACCTTCCTTCAAATATATAATAAATTGAATCCTAAATTGTTCTTAAGCCTTCACAGGTGATCCTATATTGAAAATTAGCCTAGCCAATTTTATATACTTATCCCAGGGGCTAAAGATACAAGTGAAAGAAAATTTATTGAGACCAAAATATAATAAAATATGGCCAACTACAGATGTTGGAGAAGAAGAAGTAGTTTAGGACAAGGAGCAATTTTCAATAAAGATCAGTATGTATATACTCATCATGGCAGAATAGGGTAGTCGATTTAAGATTTTTGATATGATGGATAGAATCTGATGAAATTTGATTGCACATTCTAGCATAGACAGACATAATAAAGGTAATCTTCAAGATAAATGTTTAATATTATTTTATGATTATAATAGGGGCGTTTAAATGTTTTTCTCTCTAATAGTCAGATAGCATACAGATAGCTTGGGAATTCCTATCTTAGAGAGTTATGGATGTGCATTCTGATTTCAAGATTTGATTTGCTTATTAATTAATAATAGATTTGGCCAGTTGGTTTCATAATTTATTGTTATTATTTACAGTTAACTCAGAAATAGCGTACGAACTTAAAATAAGAAGGATACTTTTGAATGAGTGCATGCTATAATTAAAGGATGCCAGTAATGATTAACGGGTTTAGATAGTAGTAGAATATATACTGAATAAATCTCATTTGATATTAGACCAAAAGATCAATTTTCGATATACGATAATTTGAGCTATTATTGGATGAACAAACAAACTAATAGGTGGACTAGTCAATTAGAGGCAGCAATTACTTTCAGACAAATCTTCATTAGATTGGGAGAAGATTGGGAATAATGAAAGAATTTCACTATATGGAAAGTAAAATTGAATTAATATTTAGATTAGTCCAATATTCTGTGAAATATGAAGACTAACTATATAGGAAGGTAACTAAGTGACTTAATGTATACCGTATTCTAAAGTTAGATGAGGAGAAGTGTGATAGTAGATTTTTTAGTATTGTTTGGCTCCCATTTTGGTAGTAATTAATTGATATCTATGCATAAGAGCATTATGACAATTAACTTTACATGATAAATAATGATTGCTAAAATTTTTGTATGTCCTTTGTGTTTAAACTTTATTGAAAATCTGAGGATGTTCTTGAAATGTGTATTACATAATTTGATGGCAGATTAGAACAGCTAATGTGATAGTTATTTGAGATTATTTACATCATATAATGTAATGGTTGATTTTTTGATTAGTCTAGTCATTTCAATTTGCTCAAAATGGAGCACATTGCGACGCAAAATCAAGCAAAATATTTTTTTTTCTGTCCAGTATGCTGATTGGTTGATAGACCTTTTCAGAGAATCCTTACCACATTTTTCATGACTTCAAAAGTACGTTACCAAGGTATGAAATATTACTACTTATTTAGAAACAAATGAATATATTAATTAAAACTTTTAGAATTTCATTCTTCAGTTCCACACTCTAATGTTATGATCCTAAGTCAAATCTCCAATTCGGAGATCATTTGTAACCCAACTACAGATATCTATCTTCAGGAAATTGTATTTTGCAAATACAAATACTAAATCTGGAGATACTTTCAGAATTAGCAAATCTACTGGATCCGCTAAGTACGAAACTATTCAAGGAAACCGAATTTTTCTGTATTAAGAGTCTAAATGCATATTAAATTTTAGGACTGAGATGGTAGAGCACGATGAAGAAGTTTGGCAATTGAATTACAAACTGAGTTAGATTTTTAATATTCAAATTCAAGATTATCTGCATATCTAAATCCTTATTTAGGTTTTACATTCAGTATAATAGGTTAATGTAATGGTAACATCAGAACATTTAGCAAGAGAGTAATGTATAATTTTATCTGTTTACAATAAAAAATATTGCATGGTTCATCCTAAGAAACATATTTTACACAAAAGAAGTAGTTGACCCTCTTTCAAGCGTATGTTTTGGAGATTATGTATTGTAAGGAAGCTGCAATTGAATTACTTGAGCTGGAGTTGAATATTACTAATCACTTTGTATAATTAGGTTATTTGCCATTCTACACATACCTTCAAGAAGGGCTGAAAATGGTATTCAATAACTCTCATCCGTCTTGATATTCCTATTAGTTCTCATTGTCTAATAAACTTAACTCTAGGACTTTAAATAAATCCTTATAATAAACCAATAACTTTCAACACAGGTTGTTTAAAGGTAAATGCATGAATTAGAATTAAATTGGATAGGTAAACTGCATCCAAATAAGCTTAACTAATTGGATTCGAAATGTGAACAAAATTTCTTCAATAATATAACTTCTTATCTTATGCATTCCTTAGACAAAGCAGAGTAACCTGCCTTAGGTGAAAGATTTGTAAATACACTAAGAGCTTTTTAGTTTGGAGCCTCATCTGAACAGGAATGATTAGTTGATATCAGAGAACATTTCGCCAATATCTTTGCTAGCATCAGATGGGAGCTCGAATCGCACTTAAATTCAATGAATCCTACAATTTTTAAGCAATTCAAGAAGACATTTGAAGCTATATCTGTATTTTCACAACATAACACAAAATAAACATCTTTCTTCCGCTGTTATTTGGAAAAGAACTTGTTCTAAAATTAATGTCATAATTAAAATGTAGGTTATATAAATTTTGAATAACAAGACGTATTTACTTACATCTTTGCTTACTAAATAATTCTTAAAGCCTGAAAATGAATAACTTGAATTCAATGATGGAGAAGTTTTGGTTTAATTTCTGCAAAAGTTTAAGTTAACTAAAATTGAAACTAAACCTAATTTTGGCAATGAAGTATATATCCTATTTGAAAAACGTATTAGATTAAAATCAGAATTATTATTTAATGTAGAAAGGAGGGAAATACTGAAGTGAATATATCCGCAATACTAGCAGCTCGATAAAGTTCTTACATTATCTTTGGACCTGGATATATATAATTTACTCACTTATTTGCGGATCATCCTTAATTGCAATTTTCTAAACTTTAATAAATATGTATTTCAATTATCGGACATTAAAATATATAATATTTCAAGTTGTTTGCCAAAAACAAATTATAATCCTCAAATTAAACTGATTTAAGTCATTTTTCACTAGTCTTATCTCACTTCAAAAGTAAAATCTATTGCATATCAATAGTTGTAAAATACAATTAAAGAACGAATCTCACTCACTTTTTTTTTTCGATGCAATAGATAAATCATCATTTTGAGTCATTTCATATTCCCTTATTTCAGTAATCCTAATCACAAAGCAGCTACAATACACTACAATATCCACTTCTTTCTGGGAAAAGAAAATAGTCCTCTCCAATAAATCTCCTGAAAATTTAAGGGAATTGTTCAAATAAAGGAATCCAACTTGCAAAATGTTAAATAAATATAGGAGGTAATTTAATCATACTTAGAATAAATCTTAATTGTTTAGATGATAACATAAATCAATAATTTTATTTTGAACTTTTAAGCGATTATTTTGCATTAAGCATATTATAATATTAAATAATTTTTCAAAGTGATAGCACCAATTTTGATTTAATACAAAGAATTCGAATTTAATTTGATAAAGCAGTACATTTTTAAAGGAATGGGTTATTCATCATTTCATGCTTATCAGATTTTTTAAAAGGTTAAAGAGAAAGTATCTAATTAAAGTCTTCGAGTGCATTCTCTTATTTTGTAAGAACATTATAAAATTGGAATAATTTAGGGTTCATCTCTAGAAATATCGCTTAAAGTCAGATGGAAAAGAGGTTTGATAAGATTATATTATCCTTTCTAATCTATTTAAGAATAGTCGTGTGAATTAATTTTAGATTTAACGTTACGTCAAAGATAAGTAAGATAAAATTACTGCTCCAAATGCTGTCATTAAATAGATGTAAAGGCTAATTTCTAATATACAAATCAATTTGCCATATAAATTTTGTAGAATCGAATTATTTTTCTTCTTAACTGATTGATATCATTTTTGGAGTACTAAAATTACTTATTTTTTCTGAAGTAAATTAATTAATGTCGAAGACGAAGTCTTTTCTTTAAAAGTATCAGTATTTATAGTTTTCTATATTTGACCAAATATTTTAATCTTTTTAAAAAATGATTTGCCAGAGACTTTTCCTAGAGGAACTTCTGCTTACAATTAGGTATTTGAGTTTGAATTTTATGATTAAGTTTATCGAATTGAAATAATTCATTATTTTGATTTCTTGCTTGGTTTATTTTGTATCCTTCTTTCTATTTTTTTGACAGCATTTTACAAGAAAAATATAAATGGAGTTTATCAGATTATGCAATCGCAAATTTCAAGTATTAAATGATAAAGCATTATTATTTAAATTTCTAAAAAATATGACTTAGGTATAATCGTAAATCTCCAAAATCTATTCATAGCTGTTTCATCTTTAAGGATTGATTGAAAGGTGTATTAAAATTATACCTTACTAAAGTGATTAAAGCAAAGAATTTGATTCTATTAGGAGGAATGGTTTCTATGATCGAAAAGGAGTTCCAATAAGTTTAAAGATAGTAATCAAATAGAGTATTTATTTTGGAATTGATAAATAAAAATGAATTTATGAATTTTCAACAAAACTTAATATTTTTGTAATTTATCCATCTAAAATGTTGGGTAAATGATTGAAGAATCTAAATCTCAAAGGAATGATCGCTTACAGATTGATGCTTGACCAATAAATAGGATACCCGAGTAGTTTCTAATATAAAGTAGAAAACTGGAATGGCGTTTAAGATGTATAGGTTTTGTTCTCTTATTTAGAAGGACTTTTTATCTCATTATGAAGAATAAGGAAGAGATAATAATCAGATCTATGGAAATACGTGAAGATTATTGAGAAAAAGGATGAGTTATGTACCTCAAGTGGAAGATACTCAGAAGAAGTTTATAGAAATTTTGAGAAGTAAGTTTTGGAAACCATCTTGGTATGCGGCTGTAAAAACATGAATTGATTCTTCTACATGCCATTACATATAAATTATGAAATATATTTTGGTTTTCATTTCATCTTCTCATTTAACTTAATTTGAATAGTCATTTAATCAATTAAACAGAAAAATTCAAACAAATACATCTTGTGGCTAACTTTAGTATTTGTATCAGAGTCCTAATCTAAGAAGAAAAAGAATAGAAATCTCCAAATAGTTTCAGTTAGAGAGTTAAATAAAAGCACTTCTTTTATAGAGTTCCCTTATATATGACTAGGAGTGATATTTCAAGGATAACTAGGAACATTTCAGTAAGGTGTATTCGGTTTCTGTTTTTAAAGAAAGAAATGAGTTAGAGAATGGAAAAATTCCATGCTGTTGAATATAACCATATCTTCTTAGCTGATCAATATTTCTTAATCTTAAACAGCTAATCATCAAGTTGTTTATTTGCTTTACGAATGGTATTTCTATTCAGATCATCTTTTATAGAGTTCTCTTTTACATTTCTGAAAACTTTAAATTAAAATTTAGCTGTCGGTTATCTTCTCATTGCCAAAAAAATGTAAAAATCTAAATTTTCTTTAATAAATTTTCCCTCAGAACCACAAACAGAATTGTGTAATTTAGTAAAGAACTTAAGTGTGTATGTAAAATATTTTTAATTACATCCTTGCCGATAAGGAAATTTTCTTATTTTAAATAAAGGTTATAAAAAATTTATTAACAGCAATTTATAAGATTTATCTTAATTATTTAAACTGTCAAAAAAAAAAATCAAATAATCAATTACCCTCACATCATTTCAATAATGATCTTCAATTAAGGATGCAAATTTGTAAATTGTGCAAAGATAAGATTTATCAATTAGGTATTTAGATATGGCAAATTGGATTGTTTAAATCGCTCAATCAAAATAATGTAAATTTCCGTCCTCTCCAATCTTAAATTATTGAAGAACGTCAGAAGGTGGACATAAAATTTATTATAAAATCTAATTTTTTGTCTAGTAAAAGAGTAATTTATATCTAGCTTCAAGCAAAATTACATTATTTTACAGTTGCTCAAAATTTTATTAGATCGAAAAAAAGCAGAATAAAAAATATCAGAAGTAGCATGCTATCCGTGTATTGCTCTTATAATTTAATTCGCTTTATATATATCTTTTTGTAGATCTAGTTTTCTATTTAAATTTAGAGCAACTCAATCAATCTAATAACACAAATAATCTTAATCTAATTAATTCACCTTCACAAGAACTATTTTTACTATTTGCAACGTTGTCCTCTTCATTACAAAAACAAGATGAGAACTAAGGATTAAACTCTATTTAATTCTAAAAAATTGATCATATTAAAATATCATGTTGGGTCTAAACAATAATAAATTTGGATAAGCCTCATCAAATTCAGAATAAATTCATTCATACATTAAAATTGCTTCTTAAATACTGAATTTAATAATTTAATCTTATTTGCAATGATTTTATCTAAGAATTATCATGAATAACAGAAAGTAAGACTATAAATTTTACACCAATAACTATTAAGTTCATCTGGTTTTATATTTATTGGTTCAATAATCAAGAATATCTCAACTTAAATTTCAAGTTGAATTGTTGATTTTCGTACAAGAAGGGACAACAATATATTGGAGGATTACATTTTCCTCTTAAAATACATGGTTCATTTTACCAGTATAATGAATTATTTATAGAATATTAATCAATTTAAACAATTATTTTATATACATAATTTATGTTTTGATCTAGCAGCAAATTAAATAGATGCTTATATAGATATTTAAGAAATAAATTAAAATCAAGTTCATACCATCAATGTACAAATTTATAGTCGTTATAGCAATTAAACTATATTATTATATATTGTTTTAAAATGCAAAGTTTACGTATAATTATCATTCCAATTCTTTGTACATATGTATAAAATATCTAGCGCCGTTCTAAAAGCATCTTAGCCAATTTTTGCTTAGGCTAATTAATTGTATAGAATCGACCCATACTCTATTAAAAAGGTAATCATCCACTAGACTGAACTGATCGAGTTATCATTGATACTAACTTTTAATAAAGTACCATCAGGAAAGAAACAGACTGAATAAACCTGCCTTATCATTAAAAATTCAAATTATATCTTCTCAATGTAGACCTTATCCTCTTTAATCAATAAAAATAAAACAACTACGGCTTAACCTAATACATGCACATCAGATTCTTGAATCTTATGGAATATCTAATTTAGTAAACTATCTTTACAGTCTATCCTCCCTTCCAGCTAAGTTTTCAGCAATCAGAGATCCTCGGCTTTTTAATTCATATTTAGACACTCCAGTCTTTAGAGGGTGTGCTATTATTCACCTCAAAGAATCTTTAGGAAATAGAGTTCCTTTTGGAAGTAATTTCCTACTAATACTAATTGCTGCAGTAAGATCTGTTTTGTTTATCTTCTATAATTCCACTCTCAGCTTTAATAGTTTCAGTTAATTATTTTCTATCTTCAGACTTATATTAGTTTTTTTGTGCCTTTCGAAGCCAAAATCCATTGTTATATAAAAATACTTGTTCTATTGTTTTACTTTTGTAATATGTTGAATATATATGATTTCCTATTATAATGGTCAATCAATGCTATTATTCATTAATCCTGGGCAATGATTATTATATATTATTTTAAAACTATTTGTTAGATTAACATCAATTAGAAATGATAGATAATGGTATATTATTCTAATAAAATTAAGGTTTTCAACTTCTTTAAGTATCAAGTTTTTAATAAATGCTAATAAGGATAATTAAATGAAAAAGAGGAGATATTTTAATGTAAAAATAAATCATACTTATTATTCATCTACAAAATAAATTTAGTCAGTATAAAATTTATATCCTTAAAATTTATCAATCTATTTATTGATGATATATTGAATTGTTAAGATTTTATCAAAAACAATAACTTACTAAAATTGATATTAACTTCTTTAAACTGCTATTAATTAATTTTATTTTCATTTTTTTTCTCATTCATAAAATATTAAGTTAGAGATGTAATCATATTTTGAATTAACACAAAAAAACTGAATTTAACATTAATTATTTAAACACATCAATCGAAGTGACTTCCAAGTTGAAGATTGTTAAATAATTCTTCAAGGCAAGCTTAAATGAATAATTCGAAATTAGTGATTGCACCTTTTTTATAAGAGCTTTATAAATTTAAGTAAATCAAAGAAAATGTTATTATAATCTAGCTTTCATATTAGGTTCTAAAATAGGCTCAAAAATACTTAAAACTCAAAAGCATAAGAGAACAAAACTAATAAGAATATCCTAAGGTAGAATTTCTATGAATTCAAATTATATAGAAAGAAAACCTATTCTTATAAATTATAAATTTTAAACATAACCTAGAATTATTAGAAAATTCAATTAAAATATGAATTAATTAAACTTAAAACTAAAAATAATAGAGCAAATTTAAGCTATATATAATAGACATAAAAGTCGAAATTCCACATGATCGTCATAAAAGTTCATAAAAAATAATGTGGAACCATAATGATATATTAAATTTCATTTCCTATTTTATATTTGGAAAATTAGGTCTCTAAATTCCTCTTTTTAAAATTCACAATTCTTAATTGCTACTTCATAATTATTGATAGCTTATTTATACTTTTTCAGCTCTGTTAAAGCCATGCCTATAATAATACATAAAATAAAACCCTTATATAAATAGGCTTCGCTGTAATTTGGATCTATTTGGATTGCTTTATTTAAAAAAATAATTGCATCGTCATATTTGTTAAGTCCATATAAAGCAATGCCTATAACAATACATAAAATAAAAACCTTTATATCCATAGGCATCCCTGTCATTTGGATCTATTTGGATTGCTTTATCATAGCAGGTGAGTGCATCGCCATATTTTTACTGATCTAATAAAAAAGCACCTATTAAAATACACAAAATAAAAACCCTTATATATATAGACATATGCGTAATTTGGATCTATTTGAAGTGCTTTATCAAAGCACATAAATGCATCATTGTATTTTATCAGATCTAATAAAGAAACACCTGTAACAATATATAAAATAAAAACCTTTATTAAAATAGGCATCGCTGTAATTTGGATCTATTTGGATTGCTTTATCATAGCAAATTAGTGCTTCATCGTATTTTTTAAGATTATTTAAAGAAATACCTGTAAAAATATATAAAATAAAAACCTTTATTATTATAGGCATGCTTGTAATTTGGATCTATTTGAATTGCCTTATCATAGCAAATAAGTGCATCGTCGTATTTTTTAAGACCATTTAAAGAAATACCTATGACAATTCAAAAAATTACCTTTTATTGAATAACCTACACTATAATTAGTATTTTATTTGAGAGCTTCATTAATACAAGATGTAGATTCTTAATATTCTTCCAAATCATATAAAGCAGCACCTGCTTAGGAAAAAATGAATACTTTTTCTATATATGGCATGAAGATGTTAAGGGTCATTTTTCAAAATTTTTTAACACTCTTAAATTGCTAATTGAAATTACTTATCATCTGTTAGAGCATAAACTATTAAGAATATTTATTAATTTACTTTTTGCAATTTAAATAAATGTATTTTGTTGATTTTTACTAAGTTCTAAATTTGAATACTCCAATAGGTCTCTATATAAGTTACTATTAATTCTTTAGGCCTATTCTCTTATAATTATTCCTTTTCCTGGTTAATTCATTTCAATTAGAGAAATACCTAAATTTATTTCAATATTTTAAATATGCCTTAAAAGAATGTTGCAAATGATAATTGCTTCTCCAAGTGTTTAATATTCTAGGCTAGGAGTTCATTAGCCTATTGCCATTTTTACTAATTTAATAATTATAATCCTAATTTTTATAATAAATTAATATACCCGACTAGAGTGTGCTTTAATTGTCTAGTTAAATAATTTGTGGTTATTATTCTACTTTATCTAAATCTAAAGTCTAAATCATTTTTTTTATGTTAATTAATTGACTTCCTATAAAAAATATTATTATTGCAGAATACCAATTTAATTCTACTTCATAATCTCATTTTAATTATTTAAATATTGGTACAATTCCTTGATCACTGATAAGTTGTCTTTCATTTATTAATAATCCTATGAACTCAAACACTGAGATATCTTAACTAGTTATATTTTTATTTTCTCCAATTATTTTTAAAATTCTTCATTTTTTTTTTTAACTTTCTCAAAGGACAGATTTAATTAGGTTGTTAATTCGAGTATAGTCTAATTGAATTTCGTAACAAAATTTTAAATTTAAGCAAATCCTTTTAAGTCTTTCTTGCAACTAGAATGTTTCTTAGGATCCACTCCGCATTATAGACAGAATTAAGATCTGGAATCTTAGCATCTCAAATTTAAACAAAATCCTTGGATTTCTTCTCCTTCATGCTCAATATCTTAACACGTAAACAATATCTATTATTTCATTAAATAAATTAAATTCAATTTTTATGCTTTAAATTTGTTTTAAATATTCACACATATATGCTAAATACAAATTATTGTTTAAGAGGCTTTTGCATTTATACTATTTAATTTAGACATAAAACAATATTAAATGCCTCATTGAGCATGTCATTAATTTCCTAAAGATATCAAAGAAATAGTTAACTTATGCTTTTCCCATTCTGATTGAACTGCACCTTTGTTAAGGAAATTCAAAAATATAGTTAACCGAAACATTGTTAGACTATCGAATGGCTTCTTCCTTCAAAGTTTATAAATTGTAATCATTTATTCATTTACATATAAATCAGATCAATCAAATAATGATATTAATAAACGATTGCACTTATTCATATAATTAATAAATTGGAAACAAACAGCAAAAGAGAAAAATGAGAGACAGAATTAGGGGAACACTAAAATTATTCATAATTTACAAAAAAAATTCATTATATATTGTTGAAACTCTTATTGTTCTCCAAAAATAAAACTTCATTTAAACATTGTTTGTTAGTCAATACTAATTGATTTTGGAATTCTCCTCTCAAGGTTAGAGCATTATATAATCAAAACATTTATGAATGTGGTATTAGAATAATTGTAAACAAACTAAATATACAAATCTGCACGGCCATCTAATTTGGCTTTTTATTCTCCTGCTTTACCATCAAATAAATGGATTAAATTATTTCTACAATAACTAATGTTGTATTTTATAAATTTTTTAACTCCTCTATAGAGCTTGTTCAAAAGCAATCTTGCATATGGTTTAAAAACAGCAAATGCCTAATATGAATTTCTACGATACTTATTATGAAAGGGTCAATTTAGTTTCACTCTAAATTTTAATAGCTTTGAAAATACCCAGAGGTAAAAATTGAATTTTATTTAAGGAAAACGATTCAGAAACAATAATTAATCTCTTTAAATATTTAATCGATACAAATCAATATTTCGGTGATTAATGGAGCTGAAGGACCTCATCATCATCCTCACCTAGATCAAGGAAAATATGGAAATAATTTTGAGGCCAAGGCAATATTAGGGAGGATAGCTTTTATTGAACACAGTAAAATTGCCCTTTAATTTTAAATTTGTAAAAATTCTATGGAAATAGGATTTAGTGATAGATTTCATCACGAGAACCCCAATGAAAATATGAATACAACAAGAATGTAAAATGGCCTACTAAATATCAATATTGGTTAGATTAGTTATATTCCTATCAAATACAATTAATTTATAGCTCTAAAATTCTCCATGATTGGATAGCTCTAAAATACCTGAATACAATTTATATTTGAGATAGGATGCCAGAATACCTCTAAAAAATTATCTGAATTTTGTCCTTTTAAATTCAGAGATATTTCGTGGCAACATAAAATAAACTTATGCTGAAATCATTTCTACAAACCTCCCCAAAGTGCTAAAATATATGTGTTTTATTTTAAATAATCTTAACTAATAAAAGAGTTCATCTGAACTATATTAAGATAGATCAGCTTATTAGTAATTACTAATTTATAATATTCCATAAATCATTATTCAAAGAAGTTCATTCAGCTCCTTGGACATGAAAGGATTTTATTATTTTCAATCAACTGATATGATTTTTAATTTACTATTCTTTACTTAGAATCAAAACAGAATTTAGAGTCATTTATTCTATTAGTTGAAAAATTTTAAATTTTATGTATTGAAATTATTAAAGTTATTGTGATATTGAAATTTTTTCCAGATTGGAAAAACTTTTATTTTCAATTTAATATGTTCTGTCCTAGTTTATTTTAATTCATTTATTTACATTATAAACATTGTTAACATATTTTTTAGATTTAAAGTGAGATTGTGATAGGCTTATGAATTAGTCTATTTACTCTGTTTATATTATCAATTTAATAGTTGTTTCTGACATCTCAATATTAAGCAAATATTTACAAAAAATACATATTAT